TCAAGGTACGCTGTCCCAATATTTATGGAAGTATAATGAACCTTCGTTATTCAAGGTACGCTGTCCCAATATTTATGGAAGTATAATGAACCTTCATTATTCAAGGTACGCTGTTCCAATATTTATGGAAGTATAGTGAACCTTCGTTATTCAAGGTACGCTGTCCCAATATTTATGGTAATATAGTGAACCTTCATTATTCAAGGTACGCTGTACCAATATTTGTGGTAATATAGTGAACCTTCGTTGTTCAAGGTACGCTGTCTCAATACTTATGGTAATATAGTGAACCTTCATTATTCAAGGTACGCTGTCCCAATACTTATGGTAATATAGTGAACCTTCATTATTCAATGTACGCTGTCCCAATATTTATGGAAGTATAGTGAACCTTCGTTATTCAAGGTACGCTGTCCCAATATTTATGGAAGTATAGTGAACTTTCATTAATCAAGGTACGCTGTCCCAATATTTATGGTAGTATAATGAACCTTCATTGTTCAGGGTACGCTGTCCCAATATTTATGGAAGTATAGTGAACCTTCATTATTCAAGGTATGCTGTCCCAATATTTATGGTAGTATAGTGAACCTTCATTATTCAAGGTACGCTGTTCCAATATTTATGGAAGTATAGTGAACCTTCATTTTTCAAGATACGCTGTCCCAATACTTACGGTAATATAGTGAACCTTCATTATTCAAGGTACGCTGTCCCAATACTTATTGTAGTATAGTGAACCTTCATTATTCAAGGTACACTGTCCCAATATTTATGGAAGTATAGTGAACCTTCGTTATTCAAGGTACGCTGTCCCAATATTTATGGTAGTATAGTGAACCTTCGTTATTCAAGGTACGCTGTCCCAATACTTATGGTAGTATAGTCAACCTTCGTTATTCAAGGTACGCTGTCCCAATATTTATGGAAGTATAATGAACCTTCATTGTTCAGAGTACGCTGTCCCAATATTTATGGAAGTATAGTGAACCTTCATTATTCAAGGTACGCTGTCCCGATATTTATGGTAGTATAGTGAACCTTCGTTATTCAAGGTACGCTGTCCCAATACTTATGGTAATATAGTCAACCTTCGTTATTCAAGGTACGCTGTCCCAATACTTATGGCAATATAGTGAACCTTCGTTATTCAAGGTACGCTGTCCCAATATTTATGGTAATATAGTCAACCTTCGTTATTCAAGGTACGCTGTCCCAATACTTATGGCAATATAGTGAACCTT